GTAAACCGGGAGCTGCACGATGTCTCGCTCAGTAAGGAGAACGACAATGAGGGCATGATCTGAGACGGCTAAATACATGTACAACGTCTCCCTAGGCAAAGGACTGACCAACCTAGGTAGAGAATGTAAATGCTCTTTCAACTTCTGGAATGCCGCCTCAGCATCATCCCCCCATTCAAACCTGGTCTTCTTCCTGATTGCTTGGAAGAAGTAAAGGCATTTGTCGCTTGACCGACTGAGGAATCTCCCCAAGGCGTCCATGCAACCGGTGAGTCTCTGAACTTCCTTGACAGAACGGGGTGACTTCATATCAATCACCGCCTGTATCTTTTCGGGGTTAGCCTCTATCCCCCTTTGATAAATCAAGAATCCGAGAAACTTCCCAGACTCAACCCCAAAGACGCATTTCTTTGGATTTAACATGACCTTATGCCGCCTGAGGGTGGTGAATGTTTCTCGGAGATCAGCATAGTGATCCATCTGTAGCTTGGATTTGACTATCATGTCATCAATGTACGCCTCCACATTCCTCCCAATTTGATTAATGAAGACCGTATTAATCATCCGTTGGAAAGTGGAAAGTGCATTTTTCAAGCCAAACGACATCACGGTATAACTGAATAACCCCTGATCAGTGACGAAGGCCGTCTTCTCTTGATCCTTTTTCCAGAGGGGTATCTGATGGAAGCCGGAGTAGGCATCCATAAAGCTCTTCAAGGCGTGACCGGCTGTAGAGTCGACCAGACTGTCGATCTTTGTAAGCCCGGTAACTGTCCATTGGACACGCCTTGTTGAGGTCTGTGTAATCAACACACATGCGCCAGGTCCCATTCGGTTTCTTAACAAGGACCACATTGGCCACCCAGTCGGGAAAGTTACAAGATTGAATGAACCTGACGTCTAGCAGCTTTTTGACTTCGGCAGCTGCCGCCTGACTTCTTTCCTCGCCGTGGTTTCTTTTCTTTTGCCGGATGGGCTTCTTTTTGGGGTCCACGGCGAGTTTGTGGACAGCGAGATCCGGGCTGACGCCTGGCATCTCTTCCACTTCAAAGGCAAAAATGTCTTTGAATTCTTTCAGCAGAAGGTGCAAGCTTGCACCCAAGGTAGCATGAGCAACCGTCCCAACCTTTACAGTACACTCTGGACGGCTGTCATCCAGAGCGAGATCAATGTTTTCACAAGCCGGTTGGGGACGGAGCTCGTCTGACCGTTCACCGGTCAGTGATTGCTATTTTTTCTCTTTCTTCACCTCCACCAGTAGAGGTGCCTTTCTTTTCTTCCCGGCTGCTGGTGGGACAGGTGCTGGGTCGGCATCCTTGACATTGTCAAGGTCTATTGGTTCCTGGTCGCCTGGGGCCACAGTATCTTTGACAGCTGAGAGATAGCACTCCCGGGCCGTCTTTTGATCCCCATTCAAGGAACCAACAGAGCCGTCATCCCTCTCATACTTGATGAGCATGAGAGACGGGATGATTACCGCCTTGGCTTCGTTGAGAGTTGGCCGACCAAGGATAATGTTGTAGGCGGTCAACTCCTCAACGACTAAGAATCTGACGACAATATGTCATCCCTGGCCTTTCTCTCCCAGCCGGATGGGTAAGTCAATTCTCCCGGCTGGGTAGACCATTCCGCCCCCAAAACCAACCAGGGGGTGGTTGACCGGATGCATGTTGCTGACATTGCATTTCAGCTTTTGCAGGCACCAGAGGCTGATGATGTCTGATAAGCTGCCGGTGTCTATAAGGATTCTTCCAACCAGCTGGTTGGCAACCTTACATTCAATGACGACCGGGTCATCATGCGGACGGCGGACGCTGCCCCTGTCCTTATCAGTGATCAAAACGTCTTGGAAGGGGGTGCTTGTAGACGCCTGCTCATCATCATCCTTGTCCATCTTTCGAAGATGGCTCTTGGTGCCCCGGATGGTAAGGCCACCACAGGAAAACCCGCATGCTATTGTGTAGACCGGCTCCTTGTCGGTATCCGAGCTACTAGCAGGCTGGGGGGTAGTCTTAGAGGACTGACCCTTATTCTTCTTCTTTGCCCCAACTGGGGACCTATAAATGTAGGACTTCAGCATTCCCTTGTCAGCCAGACGGTCCAACGCCCGTTGAAGACTGAAGCAGTCGTTGGTGTCATGGACAACCTCCTCATGGAACTGGCAGAATTTATTTTTGTTCCGTGACTGAACATAACTCTTCATTGGTTTCGGCTTTTCAATGGACAGCCGGTCCTTAATTTCCATGAGGATGGAATTGCAGTCCTTGTTAAACTCGTACTTAGGGACGTGCGGTTTAAACTCCTTCTTTTTCTTCTGGGACGGCTGGTCAGAGTCATTAACCGCCCAGATTTCTTTTCTTTTCTTTCTCTCTTCTTTATTTTTGGCCGGCTGAGCAGACCGGATGACTTTCTGCTTGTCGGACTTGGAGTCCGACTGGTTACCAGATGAGCAGAGGTCAGTAGCTTGAATGTAGTTTTCCGCCTCCCTCAGGGCCGCCTGTAAGGTGAAAGCCCCTTTTCTGACTAGGTCGAACTTAAAGGTCGACCCGTCTCTCAGACCCTTGAAGAAGTCTGTAAAAGCTACCTCATCAGACAGTTCTTGAATCTGAATTTTGATCAGATTGAACCGCCTGACATATGAACGCAACCCTTCTCTCTCCCCCTGCTTAACAGTGTTCAAATCAAGGCTTGTTTTCTTAGCAGAGATGTTCATTGAGAAGTTGGAAGCAAACAGGAAGGCGAGCTTCCTGAAATTGTCAATGGACCCGGCTGGCAAGTTGCCAAACCATTGTAGGGCAATGCCCTTCAATGTAGCCGGGAAGCATCGACACCAGGTGGCGTCATCCAACCCCTGTAGGTACATGAGGTTGGTGTATGCCATAAGGTGATCTTCCGGGTTGGTGGTACCATCATAGGTACATACTAATACATTCTTAACCTTGGCTGGCTGTGCCGCCTCGGTTATCTCCTGGGTGAACGCAGAAGGTTGTTCACCCAGGCGTAGCAGACGGAGCTGCCAATCTAGTGGCTGGACATTTTGATATGTTGCCTGACCCCCGAAGAGGGTCGGCTGCATGAAGTGAGGGGGATACTGACCGTAAACCTGAGTAGGTACATACGGCACAGTTCCAATCATCTGGGGCCAGAATGGACGGTATTACCACCCGTCTGGATCTCATGTAGGGAGAGAGCATTCTCTACAGAAGTATTGTTGAACCTGTCAGGGAAGTTCAACGTTGAAGCCGACTCAGACAGCTGTTGATTTCTCTTCCGGTTGATTATTTCCTGGGCATCAAGAGATGACTTTTTACTTCCCACCGGCTGTTGAGTCCGGCGGGTATTATTGTTATTCCTCTTAGGAAGAAGAATCTTGGACCAATCAATGGTCCCGGCTGCCTTCTCCTTTGGATGGGGAGTTGGCTGCCGATCTTTGACTGACTTCCCCTTTTCCAGAGGAGCCTTCTTGGCCGACTGACCTGTACTTGGGCCAGCCCGGCTCTGGGTGATCAACTCTTTAATTTCACCCTTGAAACTTGTCATGAACCTCATGAGTTCGTCTCGGGTGACCGGTGCTGATCCTGTGGCCGTATGGGTTTCCCCTTCCGGCTGCTCAGGTGGTCGACTTGCACCCGCCTGGGAGGCACCCCGCTCCAGAGTCTCTCTGGGCCGGATGCGCTTGATTCTGAGAGAGCCGTCATCGGCTGTAAAGGTTTCGACCTGGGGATCTTCATCCTCCTGGTCTGTAAAGACTTCTTGGTCTTCGCCCAGACGGTTAAGGGGTACAGACTCTTGAACCATCTTCGAGGTACTCTCCCCACAGACGGCGCCAAATGTTTTGGGTGTTTTTGTCCCTCGGGAGAGTTACAACACGAAAACTAATCCGGCGGGAGCTGTACCTGCAAAAACAAACGGAGACACCGGTTGGGTGGTGCTCCGCCTCCGACGCACAAGTTAGAAACTTGTAGAATGAGAAAACGATGCGGAAATTTAGGTGGGTATCTGCTCGGATTCCAAGCTCAGATGTCTCTATCACAGGGACTGTTTGTAATAAATGGTAAAAACCTCCTCTCAAAAAGAGGGACATCTCCCTATTCATAAGGTCTTTGGGATTTGTGCCCCTGATTAGGTCACTGAGCCCTAATCATTGGTGGGCTGCGCTGCTTTGCAGCTTTCTCGGGATTTGGGCCTGAAGGCCGCCTTTTTCCCCCTAATTTCTGGAGTGACACGTGTCAAACAGAGATTGGTCCACTTTGGGCCAACCTGAAGCTGACACGTGTCGTCCTCTGGTTGGACCACGTGGCGGGGTAAAATTACCCTAAACACTTTTCATCTCCTAAATTAAAATAAAGTAATAGTAAAAAAAAAAGTTGAGCTAATTAGTTCACGTTTTATATATATATATATATATATATATATATATATATATATATATATTTCACGTTATATCTATTTCACGTTATATCTATATATATAGTGTGGATTTCTAAAGAAATGGGCATATGAAAACGAAAATTGGATATAGTTTAGGGGAAAAAAAAAAAAAAAAAACTTGAAAAGTTTCTGAAACAATTCCTCCATTTTTCCTTCAACCCCATCAACAATGGTGGAAGAAACCCACCTCTCAGCAGCTCGGCTCCACCACCATACGACCTCATAATCCTCAAAACAATCCCTCGCATTCCTCAACTCTTGTTGTTCCCCTCTCAATTAGGTCGAAACCCCACAAAACTCGCTCAATCTCTTGGACAATTGTGAGGAGCCTGAGTTTGATTCGGTTGATAAGGGTTGTTTGGTGGTTTCTGCTTGTGGGTTTAATTCGGTTACGGATGAATTGGGGTTGTTGTTTAATTCTCACCAATGGGTTTCGCCTTTGGCGCCGAATACTATTTAGGCTTACTTGAGCTTGGAGAGTAAAGGATTTTGGGTAATTTTGCTGTTCTTGATGTTGCAAATGCTGATTCTTTAGACAGCTTCGGTCTCGGCTCGCCCTCAGGTTGATTTTTTTATTTTATTTTATTCTATTTTTCGTATGATTTAATTATAATATGGGAGTTTTGTTGCTCTTGTTATTTGATTATATGAGTATAAGAATTGACTAATTTAGCATGTTTATAGGACGAGGAAGCGAATGTGGTTCAATTTTGTTGTTATTTAATGCCATTATTGATTACTTTTCCGCTCTCTTTTAATCGCAACGGGGGATGCATATTATTTGTGGGAAGGGACCCATGTGTTGAAGAGAGATTGAGATAATCATTGGCCAAATAAAGTATTGTTAACTTTCCATAAAGAAGTGCGTTGTGATTAAAAAAAATGGGAGGAAGTATTTGCTTTTGTAGGGATGTGATTTTTTTTATTGGATTTTGACATAATGTATTGTATGCTCCTGCCTTTTGTACCACATGATTATTGTTGGGTATGATCAACAAATGTATAGGAATGTAGGTTGTCTTGTTGTATCTGGACAATATGAAAGTGTTTTATGTGAATCCTTTAGGCTGTGCTTTCATGGGATAAACTTTTCTAGTTTTTTGAATGTGTTTCCTAATTTGGTGTTTTGGGCATCGTCGATCTTAGTTTATGGTTGATTCTTCAATTGAGTCAATTTTTTGACAGTAGTATGGCTTGAACAGATTAATTATGTGGATTGAGTGACTGATATATTTATCCAACAAGAGCAGCTAGCGCTGCAATTTATTATGGTTCTTAAAAACTACTTGGGGAAGTTTAGATCCTATTCTGTCAATCTATGCTAAGATTATCGAATGAGCGGGGTTTGTGATGGCATAGATTATTTTAAAGTTTATTTCTTGCACGCTTATTCATTAACACCTGGCCTTGATTATGTCTATTGAGTAAGATGTGTCTAGAGGCGTAAACAAGAGTTTTATTGCAGTGGTTGGTGAAATGAAGTTTGAATTTCTTAGCCCTGATAACGTGCACAATTAATTAGGGAAACTATGATATCTTGTTGGACAATAGTGGCTGTTAAGGTACTGAGTTGTTGACTGTAGGCTTGCTTTGGTTACTTTAGGAGTACGTAGTAGTGTTAACATTAATATTGGGGACATGGAGAGGTTGTTAGAAGTATAATTTAGTGGGTCATGTATCTACCATAAATAAGGGAAATAGTGTAAGTTTTCAATATTAAAAAAGGGTAAGGAATATATATTTAATTTGAAAACACCTTGATTTAAGTATTAAGAAATGCCTTGTTTTACGTGCTTCATTTGTGAGCCGCAATTAATGGTTTTGGGTATCATTTTGGCTCTTATTGCCAACATTTGTGTCGAAATTGGTAAAAAAAAATATTGAATTGCATATAAGAAAAATGCTTCTAAGTGAGGTGTAACAAAATTGCAAAAAAAAAAAAAAAGTAGTTCAATTTGCGTGCAAGAAAATGCCAATGTTTGTGAGATGCAAACGTGTAGTAGTTGGTGGGGGCAGGTATTCTTTCCATATGTCATAGACTCATAGCATCATACAAATTAAACAAATCACTTAAAGAAAATAAAAACTAACTAATCACAAAACAATCCCTCCATTTTTTCCTTCAAAGTTCAAGTTCAAACCCATAAAAAATGGCGGCAGAAACCCACCTCTCAACCCCACCACCATACGACATCATCATCCTCGGTGCGTCAGGCTTCACTGGCAAATACGTCCTCAAAGAATCCCTCAAATTCCTCAACTCTTCTTCTTCTTCTTCCCCTCTCAAATCCCTCGCAATCGCAAGTCGAAACCCCACAAAACTAGCTCAATCTCTTTCATGGGCATCCCACCCAAACCCACCTCCCAACATCACAATCCTCACTGCACATACTTTGAACTTCGATTCGCTCCTTCACATCGCTTCCTTAACTAAACTCATCCTAAATTGTGTAGGACCCTTCCGCCTTCATGGCGATCCAGTGGTTCGAGCTTGCCTCGAGACTCGCACCGATTACTTGGACATTTGTGGGGAACCTGAGTTTATGGAGAAGATGGAGGTTCAATATCATGATCAGGCGTTTGATAAGGGTTGTTTGGTGGTTTCTGCTTGTGGGTTTGATTCGGTTCCGGCTGAATTGGGGTTGTTGTTTAATTCTCGCCAATGGGTTTCACCTTCGGCGCCGAATACTGTTGAGGCTTACTTGAGCTTGGAGAGTGATAAAAGGATTGTGGGTAATTTTGCTACTTATGAGTCTGCTGTTCTTGGTGTTGCTAATGCTGATTCTCTTAGACTGTTGAGGCGGTCTCGTCCCAAGAAGGCTCGTCCTCAGGTTGATTTATTTTGGTGTTTTTCGTATGATTTAATTATAATTTGGGAGTTTTATTGCTTGATTTGATTATAGTAGTATAAGAATTGACTAAACTAGCATGATTATAGAACGAGGAAGCAAATGTGATTACTTGATGCAATTATTGATTACATTCCCCACTCTCTTTTAATTGCAATGTGGGAATGCACATTTTGTGAGAAAGGACTGGGAGATAAAAAGGGACTTGTGTGATGAGGTATGAATACTTAGCAATTCGAAAACAAAAACCCTTTCGAAGAGCTTCAACAGTCCAACTGTTATCATTTTTATTCATGCTTACCTCCTTTAAGCGTACCATCTGAGAAGAAGTACATATTCTCTGATTTTGCAAGCTACTACAGACATATTACAGCTTGTGCTAGATAGTTAAATACTCCATACAGTTTTCTGTCATTATTTGTTGTTATGGAATTATGGAGTACCAATATTGCCTATATGTGTCATACTGAGTAGTGTTAATGTTACATTTCCGTTCTTTACTATGGGTCACATTTCTAATTTAGTGCTTCTGCTTCTCAAAATTGAGACAACAGTAGTTTGAACACATAGAACTTCAAATTACGAACTAGAATTATGTTACGTAGTCTAGCTTAATTACCCCCACTCACATGTGGTCGATTATTGAGAAGAGGCAGTATTAGATCTAAAATGAGCTGATTTTCCCGATTGAGAAAGATGTATAACATAAATTTAATTATTTTCAAATTCTCCTATAAACCAAGACTTGAAAACCTTATCCCTTCCCCTCTTCTTTCAAGTATCTCCATAATTGCTACCGTGAGAGATAGACACTTACCATTATTAGCATTACCCAACCTCGTGGTCTAAGTTCAATGGGTCTGGGTCTGGGTCTGGGTCTGGGTCTATTTTTTCTGTATGTTTTTCCTAATTTAGTTGTTTGGGCTCCATTGAATTCTTATTTGGAAGAAACTTTTCTGTATGTTTTTCCTGATTTAGTTGTTTGGGCTCCATTGATTTCTTAGTTGGGAGAAACTTTTCTGTATGTTTTTCCTAGTTTAGTTGTTTGAGCTCCATTGATTTCTCAGTTTAATTTCGTGAATTGAGTTGCTGATATATTTATCCAACATGGGCAGCTAGTGCTGCAATTTGTTAACTACTTTTGCAAGTTTACGTCTTTTTTTTTCAATCTGCAAATATTATCCGGGTTGAAGGGGTTGTGGTGGAAAGGGTTGTTTTTGAAGTTTTATTTCATATACTTGATGTTGCGTATTGCTTTCTTGGGTAGAATGTTTGTGGAGGAGCAAGAAGGTTTGTACTCCGTAGTGGATTATTACGTGGAAAGATCTTTGAATTTCTTAGCCCTTGTCACAAGCTAAGTCATTTTATAGGTATATATGTGCACAAAGAAATTATGGTTTTCTGTCAGACAATATACAAAGTAATTCATATAGTTTTTGTTAGGGTGCTGAGTTGTTGACATGCTCTGGTTACTTCAAGAGTACATAACAGTTAATTGCTGCTCTTATTAGTATATGGGACATGAGATATATAGAGATAATCCAATTAAGTGAAGATATTCCTTAAGTCTGTTTTTGCATGGCAATTGAAATATTAGTATATTGTAAATTTGGTGTTAGCAGGAGGTCAAAGAACTGACTGAATGAGTCTAATTATATGTTGCATAAAATAAAAGTATATAATCCTTATAAATACTTTAGTAGTATTCATTAGTTTTGTAGTTTCTGGTACATGCTTCAGTCTTACTTCAAATTAAGAGTGTATCTGGTGTAAACCCTGGAGCTTTTTGAAATTGAAATGAAATTAATTCTCTCTACTCGTAAAGCACTGTTCAGACGTGAACCTTGTAAAGCATATATTTTGTACTCATTTGACTATTTCTAATTTTAATGATGGGGAACAATAGTTTTTGGTTTTGCTCTCTTATCCTTGCTTTCATGTGCCTTTTGTTGAGAACATTTTTGTAAAAGGGAAAATGTTTACTTTATTTAATCTGAAAGGGGAGGAGGAATTGATGGTTGGTGGGCGGTTGAATTACTCTTTCTGTTTCAGAGTTTCTACAAGACTAAGAGCTAACTCATTCTTATTCTCGCAGATTACAGGTCCTCCTCCTAGAGGATCGACAATTGAACAACAAAAAGAGGTTGGCCTTTGGGCTGTGAGGCTACCTTCAGCAGATTCTGCCGTTGTACAAAGAACCCTTGCCATACTGACTCAAAATCCCAGTGGACTTCGTGGGGTGAATGAGAGTGCTGATAAAATAGCTGAGAGAGAGACATTTTGGTCAACTGTGAAGCCAGCGCATTTCGGGGTGAAGATTGGCACCAAATCATTGCTAGGCATCTCGAAATTTATCACTGTGGGTGTGTTCATTGGGCTCTTGGGTAAATTTTCCTTTGGAAGGTGGCTGCTTCTAAAATTTCCCTCAGTTTTCAGTCTTGGGGGGTTCAGGAAGCAGGGCCCCACTGAAGCCGAGGTTAGTAATGCAAGCTTCAAAATGTGGTTTGTTGGTCACGGCTTTAGTGACAGCAGTACTGCATCCCTGGAAAACAAAAAACCTGACACTGAAATAATCACTACAGTTATGGGACCAGAGATTGGTTACGTAACCACCCCAATTATTTTGGTTCAGTGTGCTCTTATTACCCTTAATCAGAGACAAAATCTGCCAAAAGGAGGCGTTCTTACCCCTGGAATTGTTTTTGGACCAACTGATCTTCAAGAACGGCTTCAACAGAATGGAATATCATTTAATCTGATATCCAAACGTGCTTTGTCTTTGTAAGTGGTACTCATTTCCTTCCCACTTTAATTTTTAGATTTCATATCTGCTTTTAAATAAGATGTTGTGTGAAAGTAGATAATAGCTCATAACTGTAACAGAACACATTGAACTTTCGAGATTCAGAATTAATGCTTTCTATATTCAGAACACAGTGAACTTTTACTTGAAATATTGGAAACTTGTGACGATAAAATTGTGGAACATGTTAACATAATAGGATAGTTTAGAGAAAAATCTGTTTTAAGAAGATTTCGTTATTGTTGGGACTATCCTTAATTAATAGATAGGCCATATAGTTGAGACCTTTTTTATAATTTTTTTTTATTTTTTATTATTTTCTGATCACTGCCTTTGTCTCAAGTAGTCCAGCTTAAGAAGAAAGAAATACAACTGCAAGACAATTTATTAGGAAGGACCCTCCACCCATATAACACTTAAAAACTCAAGCATAACATAATACTAGATAAGCAGTTGTTAAAGGAACTTATAAACACACAGCCTACTGGCTTTTATCTCCAATAATAGTCTCAAACATTTTTCTTGAGCTTCCATTCTTTTCCCAAGCTTTCGTAGCTTCATCCCCAACTTTTGTTGCACTGCTCCTTAGCTTCTCACTCGTCATAATCTCTTGTATTTTCACTGCAATCTCTTCCCCTTTCACCAATCTTACTCCACTCCAACCCCAGCTTCTTTCCCATATTCCTAATCCTGCCTTCTCCACAACTCCAGCATTGACCCTTTGATCACCATGTAGGGGCCAAGCAAGCAAAGGTACTCCTCTTTGAGCAGCTTCCATGACCGAGTTCCATCCACAGTGAGTTAAGAACCCTCCTATGGCCGGATGTGCAAGGATCTCCTCTTGATTCACCCATTTTCTTAAAATTAACCCTCTTTCCTTAGTGTTCTCAAAAAATGTTTCACTTAGCAAGTCTCTGAGCTCTTCTTTATCTTCTTTGTCAACTACTGTTGTCTTGATCACCCATAAAAATCTCAACCCACTCCTCTCAAGCCCATCCCCTATTTCTCTTATCTGGTCTTTGCTCATTGCTGTTCTGCTTCCAAAGGAGACATACACAACAGATTTTGATGGTTGGTTGTCCAGCCATGGTATGTTATTGCCTGTACAAATTACGGGTGTACAATAATATTTCAATTAGCTATTCATATTATAATCTTGATCACCCTATTTACTAATATATAGTGGTAAATGTCATGATTTTAATTGTTATTAGTTTAATCTCAATGTATATTATTAAATTATCAAACTTTAATATTTTTAATACTATATAATAATCTTTCAAAAAAAAAAAAAAAAAAACTATATAATAAAAGATGTAGAAGGCCAAAATAAGTTTATAAACAATGTAAAGTTAAAATGATGCATCTATGACAAACAGAAATAGCATTAAATTTTTTTTCCCCGTGGGTATATATTACTAGTATTTGACAACAACCGGTAAGTACTTATTCTCACAATGTGGGGGGGGGGGGGCATTTTATTTTTAGAATAAGTCCATAATACGGACTTTTAAATATATAGTACATTTTTTTTTTCATTTCTTTGTTTTGAAATTTAGAACAAGTCTGTAATGCTTAAAAAAATCATTTATTTAAATTAAATAACACAACTATTACTAATGCATGGGTGAAATTTGCAATTAATAAGTCAACAAATGTGCTCTAATCCTCTCAAAGAATATTTAATAGTACTTCTTATGTCAAATTGATAGGGTTTTTTTTTTTTTTTTTTTTTTTTTTTTTTTTGATACTTATGTATCTAAATCAACAATTTATATATCAAATTATCAATGTGATTAGGTGGTTCATTTATTTATTTATCATAAGTCAACAAAATATGGCTAATCAGAGTTCAATCATGTATTGAATAATATAATAAATGTTTTTGATAGAAAATTCTTCAGCAAAATTTTACTTACCATTTATTGACCCATTTGGAATGAATGCTCCAACTGGGAAAACTGACGGTAGACTTGGAAGAACCTTGCCATTTTGAAGGGCTGAGATTGATTCAGGTTCAAATAAGTCAAAGCTGTTGGGTACAATACCCTTAGCATCTTGAAGATACCTACAACTTGTCTCTATGAGTCGAGTGAACATATGGTCTGTATTAGAAAATATAGGTGGAATGTCGTCTCCTGCTAGTGGAGCTAAACCCGGTATCACAACATCATCACCCCTTGTTACTCGAAGATGAGTAAGACTAGTCATGAAAGAGAAGAACCTAGCAGAAGAGGTAATGACATTTTAGTTTGGGATGCCGAGGTCATAGATTGGCTTGTTGATACCTGATGCGAACATCAGGTCAGAGAATAAAGCTGAGGGTGGAGGAGAGAGTGTGGAGATGTGGCGAACGAGGAGGTGTGCAGAACGGGAGACTGCATCATATTGGAGGAAAAAAGGGTCTTGGACGTTGGAGTTTGAAGATGGTTCACAAGGAAGGATGTGGAATTCTGAGGCGGTAATGTGAGGGTGTGTGGATAAGAAGGTGTTGATTTGGTTGGCTTCAGCAAATGATAGAGTGGGGCGGATGATGACAAGGGTGACACTACATGAGTTAGAGGTTAACATGGATGCTAGTCGTAGAAACGGTGTTAAGTGTCCGATGCCTGCGCTTGGGCATACGGCTACATGTGCCGGTCGAGTGGGTGTCAAATCCATTGGGGTTGAGAAGCTGTGGCTTTGGTAGGATTTTTTTCAAGCAGATTACTCTGTTTGCCTTAGCTTAATATACTTGGGATGAGTAGGTAGTGAATTCAACGTTAGACTTGGAAGAAGTTTGCCTTAGTTTATTACTTAAAGAGTTAGGTGGTGTGGCAAATTTGCTGGGTATTGAGGCGGACGTGCATGTATTTAAGTATGGTGGATTGTTTTTTTTTATAAAGTACAGTACAAATCTTGGACCTATGACTTCTGAAATTAATGTATTGTCAGCAAATTATAGGAAATGGAGTGCTTTATTGAAGAATTCTTGGACTCTAATTGTTAGAGTCATTTGGGGATAATTGTACATTCACTTTTACCGCACTTGAAAAAAAAATAACGTCATAATACATGCTGGTATTTCATTGTACTGTAGATAGTATCTCCATGATACCAACCACCTTATTCAGTGATACCAACGAACGTAAAAATGTTTTGTTGATATCAATATGATTTGTAGTTGGTATCATGTGAAATACCAACATGTGCTCTTAGAGTCATTAACAATTAGAGTCCAAGAATTCCTCCACCTTATTATTGTTAATATCTTGTCAGTAGGCTTGTAGGTAAGAATTCCTCAGTTTTTAAAATATTATACTCCATACTATGAACATTGAAGAATTATATTGGAAAATTCTAAATGTCGCCTTCAAGATTGGAAAATTTTATGTGGTGGAAAAAAACTTTGGCCATAATTTCTGGTGACTCAAGATTTGATTAATTTTATGTAGTGTCCTTATTTCATTAAATGTGATCAACCAATGGAGACCAATGTGTCTGAGTTGACTTTTGAATTTGATCCTTATTATGCATATAATCGTCTATTTGGAATAATTATGCTCCAATTATGCTGAATTTATTATTGTGTGTATGTTAATTAGGGTCCAAAATTCTAAATTAGGAATCTAAATTTAATTAAGTTAAATTCCTTCTAAATTTAATTAAGTTAAACTCTAATTTTCCCCTAAAAATTTACGAGTAGGAAAGTTAAATTCAAATTTCACCACCAAATTTCTTGAGCTTCAAATAAATTTGATGTCCATTGATGTCCCTTTCACTATAAGGATTTGATTGCTACATGATATAATTTTTAAAATTGTCATTTGTCAATTTTTGAAGGGACAACATTTACTTTTTAGATTTTTGTTAATAATGTTTTATTTGACTTCATGTATTTATTGATTTGACTTCATGCCATTTCCCTTATTGTAATTGACACCGGAATCATGATAAACTTATTGATCAGTGTTTATAATTTTTTTGGTGGCAAGGATACATAGGCCTCAAAATGAAATTTTAGCCTCCAATCTTTGAAGAAATTGGCACCAATGATCCAAGCAACGGAATTGTATTCATTTTCGGAGGCTCCGTTTAGTTTGGTTGAAAACATGCATGATGGGAGTAATTACATTCATTTCAACAAATGTATTGGTCAAAATAATACATTAAAAACAAATAACAGAGGATAACATCATTACTCTCCCTTTTTTTTAAGTTCTCGTTTTATTTATACTACAAGCTAAGAGACGCACACAATACGTGCGTGTGCAATATAAGTAAAATACCAAGCTTGATTTTGTTTTTCCACTATATTATCTCCTTAATTCTAATTAAAAAAATATTAGTGAATTTAAAAATTGTTAATAAAATATGATAAAAAAAAAATATGATGATGATACGTAAGGAAAATATATAATTTGATTTTCCTCAAAAAAAAAGTTAAAAAAAGAAAAGATGGTAGAATTTTTATTTTTAAGTTTTTTTTTTTTTTTTTTTTTTTTTTTTTTTTTTTTTTTTTTTTTTAAAAAAAAAAAAGAAGCTAAAAGGTGTATTTTGGAAAAGTGAAATTTATCACCCAAAACCCCCCTTTCACTTTATATATAGGATATTTGCCAATAAACATCTTAGATAATTATTTTGAGTTATGTAAAAATTATTTAAATTTGATAATTTTAGCATGAGACAAATTTAACAAGACTCCATGTAATTATTTTATTTCTTATGTATTGGGACTAATTAAAAATGTTTCACACATCATAAAATCATAAATAGTTACAAGAACATCAAAAGCAATGGGAGCGAGTTTTATTTTATTTTTTTATTGAGCTCAAATTCCAAATTTACTAATCCAACACCATAATAAGAAAAAAACCTCGATTTGTGTGAACATACAAAACGAGGCATTTCTGATCATTTTTTGTCAATTTTGACCTCAAATTGGTCTCGTAGAACTAAAGTGTCCCCCTAAACCTATGAAAAACATCTTTTGCGCACAAAATTCGGAGGAATTTTTTTTAAACCGTTAGATTTAACAGTTTTCTTGACGTTTGGTGGTAAAAAACAATTTTTAGAAAATTTTTTTGGTGGTAAAATGAAAGTTTTAGAAGTTTTGGTGGTAAAAAAACAATTTTTTGATTTTTTTTGGTGGTAAAAGTCAAAATTTCCTAAAAATATAAATTATTTCAAGATATGAGAGGAAATCAATAGCCTATTTAGACTAAATTTACAAATTCTTTCAAGATAAGAATCGAATCAATAGCCTCTTTAGACTAAAATTATAAATTCAATAAAGATAGGGATCAAATCAATAGCCTCTTTTAGGTGTGAAACAATTTATTGAACAATGGTGATCAAATTAACAACTTTCTCTTTCATATAAACTCTTTTCTTCAAACCATAAAACTCTATGTATGGCTGTAAGCTTTGTTTTCATTAATGTGTATTAAGTTGTCGTTTAGAAAAATATTTTCCATTCAAACTTTAACTATGTAATAGTGATCCAATCCAAACTTGACTCAACCAAGTAGTGATTTGATTTGTATTTTTTTCAACTTGAGTTTGACTTGATCATGAGATTGACCCAACTTGAAGTTTATCACACATTATAACTTTCAGCCCAAAATTTATCCCGCATCTAAAAGGCATTAAATTCAAAATAAAACTTCTATCAAATGTTTCAAAGCAAAATTCAACTTAAATCAAACCCATCCAATGGTAAAACATCCTAACATGACTTGAACCAAATTTGCCTCAACCTGAATGCGATCCCGAAATAAGGACAACTTGACCCAACATAACTCGATCTAAACATGTAATAATGATCCAAAAGTGATAATTGTATTAAGAATTGACCATATTAGTAATAAAAAAAGACCCTTAGCAATAAATTGGTAAAAAAAAAAAAAAAACTCAAGCGACAATTTGATTAAAAAAAAAAAAACCTAACCCTAAGCGACAATTTGGTAAAAAAAAAAAAAAAAAAAAAACTAACCCTAAGCGACAATTTGGTAAATAATATAAACTCAGGCAACAATTAACCCAAAAAATACAAAATTTTCCGATAAATTACTCGCGAATGCTTAACTTAGTTTGTTTTTCGTGATTTTTTTTACCAATCCTTTTTATGAAAATAACAATTTCAATAAAAAAAAATATTAGTATAAATTTTCATTTAAGTTTCATACCCTTATTAACGATTTTTTTTTAAAAAAAGGGGTTGGAAATAAATTTGATATCGAAATCTAGCAAAATATAAAGGGGGTGACATATTAATTCAAAATTTTGAATAGGAAAAATAAATTTTAAAACAAAAAAACAAATTATATTAGGATTTTTAAAGAGTTTGTCGGAAAAAATTAGATTTTTTTGGTCTTAATGTCGCCAAATTTATTGTTTTTATCAAATTTTCGCATATGATTAACTTTTTTTACCAAATTGTTGCCGGAGTATTTTTACCAAATTGTCGTTATGGGTCTTCTTTATGAGAAAATATATGTGGCATATTAACAGGTTTCGTTTATATGAGGGTTAAGGTGTCCTTTCCGCCTACTTAGAAAGGGTAAAGTTGTCAAGATGCACGAAGTCCATCTAACAGAGTAGCAACAAACTACCGACCGACATCTCCGTCAAGTCTCCACAACTCACCATTAACAAGATCTCAAATCTCAAACAATGATTAACACCTACCAATTAGGGTTGATTATGCCCTTATTTAATGTAATTTTCTTAGGGTTTTTCGTTAAATTCGGCGGCTTAACACCTACCAATTAGGGTTGAGCATGGCTTAGCAATTTAAGATCTTGCCATCAGCGAAGCTGGGAAGATGGTGTTGCTAGGTTGAGCATGGTTGAGCACTTAACACTGACGAAGGAGAAGAGGAAAAAGAAGACAACAGAATAAAAAAAATAAAAAATTAATTTCACCTCTTATATTTACAAAATTGCCATCATATTAACGTAGCATGTTAATATGACATATTAGCTGGGGGGAAGCACTTTTTTTATTTACCAATGTGGTCAATTGGTCATTGTGTTAGTATCCCAATTGACAAATCTTTTTGCGAGTTGTGAATTCGAATCTAAAAGTGGCAACTCGAGGCCTTCGGGTACTACTGTCAAATATTCTGAATTGAGTTTAAGAAAACTAAATCCTCAAACTTCATTAAAGTACAATCTAATGTCACCTTAATCTTTGACAACCCACCCTTGTACAGCATATCTGCATATATGCCATTTCTTTCAATATGACAAAATTCTGGCACCTTAACTCTGTAATCCCCCGTATTTTTAAATATTTTATAAATGAAATTTTATTTTATTTATAATATTTATTTGTACTTTTCCAGAATTTAATTACAAAAGTTTCAAATTATTAATATTGGTCAAAAATTATTTTAGCACAAACTATTTTATGAACCTATGTTCTACAATTCATGATCATACAAACAAAGCCTAGTCTATTTCATTTACCTAATTGGCCCAATAATTTTAAGAGGCCCAATCTTCTTACTTACCCTACGACATTCTCTCCTATAAATACCCCATTAATCCCCAAAAATTTCCCACACAAAAAAAGGTTAGTCTTATTTTCTCTCTCTTTTGTTTTATTAATTTGTATAATTATAATTATTGATTTATGGATTTTGATTTTTTTTTTGAAAGAATATGGATTTTGATTTTATTGTTTGAAAGTAATTTAATTAGTATCAAGTGTTATTTTGATTATTAAACTTTATAATTTCAGATTTTATAAGTGTCATAATTTTCAGATTTTGTAAATTTTATAACCTAGGGTTTTTAATTATTGAAAATCATGATTTTAGGGTTTTTATGAACAATTGATTTAGGGCTTTTATAGTAATGATGTATTGAATTATAACTAATGATTAGTTTAACTTAATTCCAGATTATTTTGAACATGTAAATTCGGGTTTTAATTTTTTGATTTTCGTTCGTTAATATTAATCCCGTTTAAATCCCGGTCAGGATCTGAAATCATCCGATTTTTACAAAAAAGTATTGTTTTTCATGTGGATACGACGTTTTAAGATAGAATCACTACCTTTGGTTGTGTGTACCACCCTATCGTGGCCAAATTCAGCCTCTAAATATGATTTTCGGGCAATTTTTTTATTTTAACTAAGTTTTTTTATACTTAAAATATTATCCTTGAGTTTGATTAATAAAATTAATTATGTTTAAAGTTAATTAAGCATAAATATATATTTTTATTGAAGTTTTAAGTGTTGAAAATAGTTTCTAAGTACTACTTTTGATGTTTTATAAAGAGGGTTTAATCACCCATTAAAAAGGGAGATTATTATTAGGGGTTTTAATATAATTTTCAGATTTTTATTAGACTTTGAACTTGCTGTAATTTCATGTATAAGAGTGTATTTTAAGGTTTTTATGAAGAAAATTTATTGAACTATATATAAGCCTTTAATTTTAACTAAAGGGAAGGTTTAAAGTGTTGTTTGATTTGGATTTTGAAGGTTTTAAAGTAAGTTAGTATTGCTGTAAATTTGATTGATTGGGTATTGATTGAGATGTTATTATTTGGTTTAGGAAAGGAGTTTATTGAAGGTGATTTCTAGTTAGTAAAGTGACATACCAATTCGTTTGCTCAAGGTACGTACAAGTTACGAAACCTTTCTTTTAGGTGCATGTTTAAGGACAAATCGAGAACTTAGTTTCATGTGTAGGGATGACTGAGTTAAATTGTTTGGTTATACATTGTGAATTTCGTATGGCGTGCGCTATTTTATAATGCAAGTATTATTTGTGCTCTAACTATGCAAGGTGCGCTTAAAGGCAAAGGTATGTGATTGGTGTAAAGATTAAATTATTACTCATTCATGATTATGCAAACAGGACGAGTAAAGGAGAAATTCAAGTCTTGTAAGACGAGGTTAAGGTTTTGGGGTGCCTTATGCACTCAAGGTGTTTATACACCGAGGTAGTAAAGGAATAATTAATAAATGTTGTTTGTCACTAATAAATCAAGAATTTAAATTGAGAATTTGCCATGTTTGTTTGAATTGTGTTTGGAATGTTTGTATTGTAATGTATATGAGTCGTCACCAAGTCTAAACCTGTAAATCACGTAAAGTGCAAAATGGATGAGCAATAAAACTCTGGAATGGTGCACATCTGGAGTAATGACAATCAGGGGTTGGGGTACATGGTGTATTAGCTGTGTACTTTTATCGAGGCCGTCTGATCTACGAGTCTCCTATTTCAAATATTATTTTTCTAAAACTAGGAGTTAGGTGAGATCTCATACTAACTACGGTCACGGAGTCGCGCCCGTGGTCGTTTGATGTTTATTAATGTTCCCGAAAAGAGGCATGGGGTTTTTCTTTTATTGATGTTCCAAATGGAGCATGGGTTGGACAACCTTGTCTATTGTGTAATCCAATGAAATAAATAAATGAGTTAGTTAATATCAACTAGTGAAGTCTTAATAAATTTGATAGTTGAGTCATGTGTTGAGTCTATAATTTAATGATGCATGATGATTGATTATTAGTAGCATGTTAGGGATTTCTTAATTTATTTTGCAGCTTGTATGTACTCAGCTTTGCTGATTGCGTGCTTTATGTGTCTCTCTTTGGTCATGGCCTTCGCCTTTCAATGACCCTGTGATGATCCAATTTTTACACTTGTAATATTGGGGAGCAGATTAACCACAGGTTCTTACATACGCAGCATTCGCATCAGAGTTGTGGGATTTTGACTAGAGAGTTGGTTATTATTCGCAGTTTATTTCTTTTCATAAGTTTGAATTTATTTAAACTCTGGTTTTATTTATTTACTACTTTTGTGGGGTTTTGAACAAGGGCCTTAATGGTTCCAAGTTGTATGATTTAATTTGGTTTTGGTTATTGGTTTTGAAACTTATTTATAACTGAATTAGTTTTTCCGCTGCTATTTTCTGATAAAGCCTTAACGTTTGAACACGTGGCGGTAGCACGCCAGTAATTCTCTTGAATATTGTTCAGGGTCCTCACAGATTTAAAGAGAGAATTATTGGGGTGTTACAAACTCTGATTAAAATATTAGCTAACAAAAACATATTAGATGAGCTAAATGACAGTAAATTGGGGTAATTAACATAAGCTAAGGCTTAATTTCCATGATAAAGTACATAAAATCCATAATTCATACAGCAGATTAGTATTAATATATATGAAGTACTTCGTATGATAGTATACCTGACAATGTTGTGTATAAAAAACATTGTGCAATTGTAGTTTTTATTAATTGATGTCTTTCAAAAGGTAAACTACAATTTACATAGTTCATAATAATCAGTTGCAAGTTTGCAACTCTTGAATTACTAAACATAGCTCCCAACAAATATGTATATCGTTCAATGACCTTTCAATCCACGGAATTGGAGCAGTTCAATCACTTTAAATAAGCTAGTACATTCACTGATTCACATATGTTCGTGCCAACCATCAGCTCATGAGGCAACCTTCTTCGGATCTATCCAATCTTTTCAGTCCTATTCTGTTTCACTTATCAGATACAACTTCTGACCGTTATCAATCATTTCTATATCAAGTAATTTACCTCCATCTTCTGATAAAACACAAGAATCAGTTGGGATGTTTAACTTTTCAGATGCTGCCTTTACCAGCTCATCTATTGTCCGTGGAATCCATAGAACGATCCCTGGTGTTCTGTTCTCTTTGGCATCAAATGGATGGTATGGAAACACTGTACATTTCTTATGGAGTTTCTTATCTGCAAGGAAGTAATATGATTAAATTTACAAGCTATGTAGTCCTATTCCTACACATCAATTTGACAATAAAACTGCTTTCCCATTAATTACTTTCAAAAGATTAGGAAAATGATTTCTAATCCTTTTGCAAATGCATTAAATTTATTAGACTTCTGGGAAATGCACTAAGCCACTAACTTTAACATCTAGTTCTTGTTCTTTTTAAGAAACTTGCATCCAAGCTTGTTCGAAAGCTTGCAAGACCTTCCCTCGTAGAGGCTAATACAAAGCCTGTGAATGAAATCCAGAAATGTGCACCTATGTGTAGGAGAGTATTGAGGTAGGGACTTAAGGTATATTTGGTATAATTGGAGTAAAAGGAATAGAATGCTATCGAATCAGAGAGGGAAAGGGTATGTTAACCATCAGTTCTTTTTTTTTTTTTTTTTTTTTTTTTTCTACTTTCAGATAACTACAGTTCCATTTTCCTCTGGCTTTATTTTCAACACTGGCAGCCACAATCGAAGCTCCTGTTTAAGCTATCCATTGTAGAAAACTGTAGGTCCATAATGATACGGTACGTTTTTATTCAGCTTTCGTAAGACCTAGGCCAAGGTGGCTTTTAAATCTCAAACAACACTTGTTTTCACTTCTCTTTTAAATCTTACAGGAGGAGGGAATTGGGAATCATAAAGTGGATATATGATACAATACTCAAAACAATATTAAACAGTACCAGGAATTTCTTCATCGTGGTCACCAAATTCAGACTGTTGAGTAGATTTTGCAGATTCCAGTAGCTTTATCAAACTGTTATGTCCACACATCTTGGATTCATCCAGTGGTGTGTAGCCCCATCTGCAGATTTCAGATTTCATAATTCAGAAATATGAAAAAAGTATGCTTTAAAGGCTTTGTGCATCTTCCTGTATCGTTGTAGACGTTACAATCATTCAGAGTTTAGACATCCGTCAAAGGAAGCAAAAAGATGTATATATTGCATTATAGCAGAAACTGTCATTTATTCGAGCACCAGCTACAAAACGTGAGGTCAAGGCGTCCAGCAATAACCATGAAAGCTTCATTGCAATTGATAGCTTTAGACTACATGCTAATTTAAGTATGAAATTTGTTAACAATGTTAGTGAAATAATATTACCTGTCTTTCAATAAAACAAGAGCTCCAGCCTCTACCAGAAACTTTGCCATCAAATATAACCCATGAGAACAAGCAACATGAAGTGGAGTTCTACGATCATAATCTCTAGAGTTTGGATCAACTCCATTGTTCACAAGTCTTTTCAGAAATTCCAGATTTTCGCTTAGAACAACTGTACAGAGAAAAGTACCAACATCTTTTAAATCAATTCTAGCTCCTTCTCTGTATAATAACTCAGCAACTCGGTCATGTCCATTTTTCACAGCGTCTAGTAAGGGTGTATTTCCAAAATCATCTGTGGATAGAATAAATTTATCAGTGATTCCGCAAAATAATACTCCCTCCGTTCCCTAATGTTTTTTAGGTTTGGAATTATGCACGGTTATTAAGAAATTGTGTAAAGTTGAGGTATGTTGGAATATTTTAATGATTGAAACTACAATTTTATTGAAAAATACAATGTTGAGCATGTGGGGTGAAAAAATTAGAGGAGAGAGGAGAGAGAAAGTAATAATAAGTGTTGAAAAACTATTAAAATAGTACAAAAAGTACAATAACACGTGAAAATGTAAGGACTTTTGAGTATAAAAAGTGTAAAACAAGGGTAATTTTGTCCAAAATTTATGACCAAAATAGGAAAGATACTAAATGTAAAGAATAAAAAGAAACGCCCTAAATGAAAACGTAAAAAACATTTAGGAATGGAGGGAGTAGTAAATAACACACACAGAAAAAAAAAAAAAAAGAGTGAAAAAAGCAAAGAAGTTGAATGCAAAAGCCACCTGACTGGTTGACATCAGCGCCTTCTTGAATAAGAAAAAGAATAATGTTTTCATGTCCTTGAGATGCTGCAATATGCTGTAGCCAAAAGAGGTTTCTAGGTTATGTACACAGTTTGCAACAGGCAAGAAGAAATATAACTCTATACAATCTTCTGCTATCATTATAACCTATAGAAATCATGAGGTATAGATTACAAGCTACAAACATATTTTGTTAACATGCAATCACTTTTGTGTCCTGCATTCCTTGACAGAGACCAAGACCAGAAGTTATTTCCTATCCAAAAAATTAAAGACTACAATGACAACCTTGCTAAGGATACATAACATAGATTCATGCCGAACAGCCGAAGTTGTCACTGCTGCAAACTTTATACAGGGATATCTATTACTTATAAACTTGTTGAACATGATAAGGTTATGACAGTAGTAATGTAGTATGCATTATTAGAAAAGCAAGTATACAAGGGACTACCAGATCACAATCCAAAAAGATGGAATAAGAGTAAAAGCAAGAAAGGGTAACGAATAGTTGATGAAACAACATACCAGAGGAGATCTTTTATTGTAATCTGTCTTCTTTGGATCAGCTCCAGCACCTATCAAATTCTTTAGCTGATAAAGATCACCACGGTATGCAGCATTATTTACTTTGAGAGCAAGTTCCGATTCATGTTGTTCTATGTGAGATGCGATATCTGATTCAATTTCCTTGAAGTTGAACTTTCCATCATTGCCCTATCAAATCAATGAACAATGGCAGATATATTACTTGTGCAGTTAGATACAAAGTAAAGATTGTATTGAGCTTTACTAGTTAAGCAACATCTAAAGAACATAAAAAAGGGAGAGCAAAATTGATCTTTAAAAGACAAAATATGCTTGGCATTATGGACTCAGTCCTCCAATTACCTCAAGGAGATTGTCAAAGATTTTTTTCCCATCATAGAAGTATATGTCAATAATATTACTCAATGATTGCTTGTCTATCCGCAGAAGCCTGCAGAGATCAATAACTCGGACTGTACAAGTCTGAGGGATGTTGCCAAAAATGGAAATTTGTCCAAAAGTGCTATTAAGTTCAAGATGTGAAATCGTCTTTTCTGACCCATCTTGCTCAATGACTACCTCCTCCTGCAGAAGAGCAACAGATATAACTATGTGAATTCTTGCAACCACTATCCGAAAACTTGTATCCATTCAGGAGAAGTAATGTAAAGAGATTATTAAAGAAAAGAGCTAGCATGATGGTACATTAGTTCAAGTCTGAACTGCATCAAAAGATGAACTCTGTCATTTCCATCAAATGCCACTTGTGAAGCTAGCTAGTACAATATTAACCATGTCTATAGTTTTGCATCTGATGTCAAATTGGAATAGCGAACTTTATCATGTGTAAAGTATTAGATTACGAAAAGTTACAATTCCTGGTATTACAAAAATAAATCTATTGGGATAAAAGAAGCATGTACACATACCAGCTTTCCATGACAGACAATATATAATTGATCTACTACATTTCCCTGCTCCAATATCACTTCACCAGGAAGGAAAAATTCTTCATGAACTCTGGTCACCTGCAAGACCAAAAGCATAGGTTAACATATAATCCAACTATCACAATGTAGAGATGTCGTACCATTGTGTCTAATTGTCTATCTCTATATAGCAACAGGAATCACATTTTCATTCTTATTGTGGGTTATAACCTTCTCAAAATCTTAACGCCTAACCATCGTCACCAAATCGAAAAATCAATTTTGAGTTTGTACTGAAAATGTGATTTGGTTATGAACAGAACGAAAATCTCAAGGCCTAGCCTTCATCACCAAATCGCAGAATCTCCTCATTAAACTAAGAGAAACATGTCTAAACATACAAGAACATATGTAGACCACCATTAATCTGTATGGCTGAACCTATGTGTTAAAGGAAATGATTTGGTGATGAACAGACCGAAAATCTTAAGGCCTAACTTTCATCACCAAATTGCAGAATCTCCTCATTAAACTATGAGAAACATGTCAAAACACACAAGATCATAGGTAGACAACCATTGATCTGTATGGCTGCACCCAGAAACTAGTGGTCATTTTAGTATGACAGCATAATTTGTGCTTTAATTTCAAGAATCTGTTACAGCAGTAAGATGCAGAAAATTAGAATCTGTCGAAAAATAGATAGAAAGTTAGGAGCTTACAATCTGATTCATGAATGCTATAGAACATCCTTTAAAAATTGCAGCATTTTCTATGTACTTCATGTACAATGTTTGGGAAATCTGCATAAACAATAGAGTATATATTTAGCTCATCCTAGTAAGGATATTACAGGAACAAAAGCAACCCAATTTCTCAGATACAGATATTAGCAGTTTTTTAATGCTGGTTCTTGACATTACCTTTGCTCGAAGAGAAATGGGAATGTCATTCAAAACAGAAGCCTCAGTATAGCTACTTTCGTATTGCAGACGCAGATGAGATTTAATCTGATTACGAAGGTCCCTGTCAAGCCTATTTCTGTACATATATTTCATTACTTCTGCCATTTTATCCCTAAATCGTTCTGTTTGAGAGCCTTTAACTATCAATGCAGTCATATTACCGATCAGATAAGCACCCAGAATCATGTCAAACGAGACATAAATCATAATGAATATCATTTCCCGCATATTGACAGCATGTATATCCCCATATCCTGTAAAATAACAACATTATTAATGAATTAATGACTTTCTAGAATCAATCATGAACACATATCTGAGTAGTTTTGCTGTAACATCTTTTTGTGAGTAGGTTCATACTACATTACTACACAGTACTCTCATTAAGTTTACACTAAAAACACTCTTTATTATGACTCCATGACCTGCCATTATCAATCAAAACTGTTGCCAAAGCTTTTTAGCATTATAAATGTAAATCAACTGACTTATCATAATAAATCATTACTCTCTTCACCTCAAAATAAATGATATTATTGGATCCTTGGATTAAAAAATGCCACTCATTTGCTTAGTAATTATTCTATAATCTCTAGTCAGCATTTCTGATAGCACACCAGATGATCAATTGTATGAGTAACGCTATCTAGCTAAGGCATACAAAATTTCTTACAGTATCCACGGCATAGTAATATTTGTATCACATTTTCATCATATATACAAATATACATATATTTATATGTTGAAATCAAACTGATATACTTAACATGTGAGAAAGAAACAGAACAACTCACCGACAGTAGCCATGGTGACAATGGAGAAGTATAGAGAGGTTGTATACCTCTTCCAAATATCGATTTCCCTAAAGTGGGAATAACTATAGTCTCCTAACGTCAAGCTACCAATCCATGTGTAGCCTTCTTGGCTTTCAGGAATTGTAGTGGCTAAATAGTAAAAGATGCAAGCTGCTGTATGTGTGCAATAGAGCTCAACAGTAAGAAGCTTTATAATCCTTGTAATAAGGTACTTGATCCTTATATCCTTCTCCATTTTCTGGAGGAAGAAAGTAATCTTGCGTACCCGGCACAACCTGATCCACAGCATGTATCTCACTATTTCTTTTTTGTGAGATGCCTGCAAATATACAATGGAGTATATTAATATAAATTATACATTTATACTATGGTTTTGATATACGTATTTAACAGCTTATGTACTGCAATAGTAAATTTTAAATACAAAGTACAAGAAGGCAAGAAGAAATGAAGTTTTGTGGCACACAGAGTCCCCACAGTAAATTGAGCTCTGAAGGAGATCAACTTTGAGGTGATCGAGCTATACGATTGAAAAAACTGTATTGAGTAATACCTTGTAAATAAGATCCCATGGGAAACAAGCTAACAAATCGAGGATAAATGTTGATTTCAAGTACCTGTAAGTAGGAAACGAAATTTGTACAAATTAAATCAGTAACAACTTTCTTGTTTGTGTGACTGAAAACTGGTAGGGAAAACAAAAACAAGAAAGAATATAGCACCTGAATGCAATAGAACGGCGTTTATGGACCATATGATAAGTCTGTTTATCTCTGTATCCAACAAAGAATCTAAGAACAATGTCGACGAGGAAAGCTACTTGTCCAACAATGTCCAAGACAAAGAGGTTCTCTGGTAGTCCGCAAAAGAATCCAAACTCCATGGGTGTAAAGAAAGAAGAGTAAACTGCCCATAATAGTATAAACTTGTCCCATGCTTTGTACCACCTGCATTTGCCATTATGGTGCGTTTTCCTGGTTCAGTTTACCCTTTTTTTGTCTAACAAATCATGTAGAACGACACTAGTGTGCGTGTTTGAGCACCATCACAACATTTTGCTGCTTGGATTTACAATGATAAATTAATATTCAATCAGAATTTTATCTCACAAAATTATAATATTTGTGTTTTTTATTTAGTTTTATAATATTTCTATCAAATGATCTGCAACATAATGAATGTCCAACAGGCAAACTGTATTTTATGAAGTCTGTTTTTTCTTTGTATTCTAGAGGCAAAATTGGCCTCAATACTATGAACTATTGAGTTTTCCAGCCATTATTCTTGTGGTGTTTTGTCTACTACGCAAACTACTGGTCGCACTCAAGCCATAATTAGTGTTGAAACAAATTTTACCTATCCTAAAACCAATAGACAATACTATAGCTTCAAATCTTCAATCACTCGGATTATATATTGAAAGTTTTTTAATTTATCTTTCAATTTGGGGCCTTTATACTATAAAGAGGCGAGGTCTAAAAATGAAATAATAACTTCTCAAGTTTTCATAGAGTAATTAACAACCCTGTGTAATTGGCTAATGGCTTTGCTCCGTTCTTCAGTCGGACCTTTGTCCTTTGCTCATCTTGTCTAATGGCTTTGCTCCGTTGGATGCTCTGGATAGACCCTTTCGTTAACAAGCCGCCTGGCTTGCTCACGAAAATTTTTCTGAATTTCTCGAAGAAAAATGGAATCCTACTGCCCCTCTTATTCCCCTGCTCTCGTCCGTTTCTAAAGAGTTGCAAGATTGGAATAAGGAGGTGTTCCATAACATTTTTAGGGAAAAGAGAACTTTGATGGCTAGAATTAAAGGAATCCAATCCTCTCTCTCAACCAATAAACAAGCAAGTCTGATTAAATTGGAGGCCAAACTTCGTAGAGACCTCGATGATGTTCTTCAACAGGAGGAGTTATTGTGGTATCAAAAGGCAAGAATCGACTGGATTGAGCATGGAGACCGCAACACAACATTTTTTCACCTAATTACTGTTATTCGAAGGTGGAAAAACCGGATTGTGGCAATGGCAATGAAAAATGCGGATGGAGTCTGGGAGCATGACAAAGCTGTGGTTAAAAATCTGGTGGTGAATTATTTTTCCTCTTTATTTAAAGATGATGGTGGTCCTGCTGTTTCAAACATTCCAACAGGGGTCTGTAATCCTATTTCGGCTGATGAGTGGAACAAGTTGAACCGTCCTTATACAGCTTCTGACATTGATTATGTAGTTCAAAACATGGGCGCATTGAAGGCCCCAGGGCCAGATGGATTCCAGGCCCTATTTTATCAAAAAAATTGGAGTGTTGTAGCCCCAAATGTTTATGCCATGGCTCTCTCAGTATTAGATGGTAAAGGCATCCCTGACTCGGTTAATGAAACGTTCATTGTTTTGCTTCCGAAAGTGGAATGTCCTGAGTCTCCTTCTCAATTTCGACCCATTGGATTATGCAATGTAACCTACAAGATAATCACTAAAGCAATTGTCAACCGATTGAAACCCTTGCTGCCGAAAATTATCTCAAGTGCTCAATCAAGTTTTGTACCAGGACGTCAAATAACAGACAATATTGTTATAGTTCAAGAGGTTATTCACACAATGAAGCGGAAGCAAAGTGGCAAAGGGTACATGACGATCAAGATTGACTTTGAAAAGGCGTATGATCGCCTTTAATGGTCCTTCATTCGTGACACTCTTGTAGAGATGAATCTGCCAATTCGAATGATTGAGGTTATTATGGAATGTGTGACATCTTCCTCCTTGCGTGTGTTATGGAACGGGGAAAAAACTGAGGCCTTTAACCCTTCACGTGGCATTAGACAAGGTGACCCATTGTCACCATATCTATTTGTGCTGTGTATCCAACGGCTTAACCAAGTAATTGAGGAAGCAATAGTTGCAAATCGTTGGAAACCCATATATGCAAGTCGTGGGGGACCAATGCTTTCAAATCTACTGTTTGCGGATGACTTAATTATTTTTGCCGAAGCTTCAATTCAGCAAGCAGAGGTGGTCAAAGAGTGTTTGGACAGGTTCTGTTGTGCATCTGGACAGAGAGTTAGCTTGCCTAAATCTCGGGTGTACTACTCCAAGAACGTGGGGCTGGAAGACCAGTTGCAGATTAATGATGCTCTGGGAATGGAATCGACAGAAGATCTGGGTTTATACCTTGGTATACCCACTTTAACAAGTCGAGTAACTCGTGAAACATATGCTCACCTTTGTGAGAAAATTGATCGTAGACTCTCAGGTTGGAAAACCAAATATCTGTCGCTTGCGGGAAGGATTACCTTGGCAAAATCAACACTCACAACCATGGCTAATTACTCGATGCAAACAGCCAAAATTCCTCGTATTACTTGTGATGAAATTGATAAAAAAGCCCGAAGATTTATTTGGGGAGGAAGTGAAGAGAAAAGTCGAATACACCTCTTATCTTGGGATACTCTATAGTTACCTAAGGAGAAAGGAGGGATTTGTATTCGTTCAGCTAGGCAATCCAATTCTGCGTTCCTAGCTAAACTTGGGTGGAGGGTTCTGTCCGAGCCAAATTCTCTATGGTCAAGGGTACTTCGATTCAAGTATTGCAAGGGTCGGTGTGATATAGATATGTTTGCACCTACCTCTAACATGTCGAATGTTTGGAGGGGATAACTGAAAATGCTAAGTGGCTATCAAAAGGCTCGTCAGTGGCAATTGGTAATGGTCGTAGAATGCTTTTTTGGGATCATTGTTGGGCCACTACCCAACCATTGAGAGAATTGTGTTCTACACCTATTCCAGACAATGTTGATGGTGCGACAGTTGAAGAAATGTGGATTGCTGGTGCTGATTGGAATTGGGATTTATTTGCTAATCTTCTGCCTGCTAACACCCTAAAGCAAATTGCTGCTCATAAGGTGATTGAAGACCCTGAAGCAGAGGACACTCGTTTCTGGAGGGGTTCCAAAACTGGTGAATTTTCTGTAAAGCAGGCAATTAAAATCATTAAAGATGAGGAACATATCCAGAAAGATGCGAAATGGGATTTAGCTTGGTCTGCACAAGTCCAGCAGAGAGTAAGGGTGTTCTTATGGCTCATACTACATGACAGGGTGCTATGTAATGCTAATAGACTCAAAAGACACCTAACTGGTGATCCAAGATGCAAAAGGTGTAATTTAGAGACTGATGAAACATTATTGCACATGCTGCGAGATTGTGATTCTGCAAAAGAAGTATGGCAGGCAGTGGGGGGTACTGCTAATTATCCTTCATTCTTCACAGGGGACTTGCAAAATTGGATGATTAAAAATCTGAAAGCTGAGGGCCTGATCTACTCAGATATATGGCCAACTTATTTCGCCCTTACTATTTGGTGGATGTGGAAATGGCGCAACAGTGCAATGTTTAACCGTGACAAAGATATTCCTCCAAATAAGGGTGAGTTTATTTGAGCTAAAGTGGAAGAGACCTAGAAAGCTATGATGGGAGTTAATGCAGATGCTTTATCTCGCACTAACAGCCCTGTGAAGAAACATCAAGTGCTGGTTCGTTGGCTTACTCCTCCAGCTGGTTGGGTGGTTTTAAACTCTGATGGTGCTGCTCGTGGATCCCCTGGTCCAGCTGGGGGTGGTGGTGTGCTCAGAGATTGCCATGGCAACTTTATTCGAGGGTTTACAGCAAGCTTTGGGATCTGTAATGCCTACAGGGCAGAATTGATGGCTGTGGAGTTAGGACTCAATATGGCGGTGGAGTTAGGCATCTCAAAGTTGGAAGTCCAAATGGATAACAAGGCTTGCATAGAGGCTCTAATAAGCGATCACCTCCATGGAGGAGAAGGAGTGCATATGCTTCGAAGATGTCGTACTATCATTAGTTCTTTTGGTTGTAATTTTCGTATTTTTCATTGTTTTCGTGAGGGGAATAAGGTGGCTGATAGACTAGCTAACCTAGGTGTTGTGCAAGAGCAGGAGCCCCTTTATTTCGATGATCCTCCTATCGAAATAAAGGAGCTGCTCAAGGAGGACATCCTTGGCGTCACTACCCCTCGTTTTGTTGCTTAGTTTTTTTTTCAGTTTTTATTTGGGCTCTTTGCCCCCCTCTGCACCAAAAAAAAAAAAAAAAAAAAAAGGTATGTATTTGTTTATGTATTCTGTGCATGAGTAAGAAATTTGAATCTGATTAATACTCCATAGCTTCTTTATTACTCGTATAATTTTTTTCTGCCTTAATTTAACAATCACTTTTATTTTCCAAATTCTTTCTCTTCTCTCACACCAATAGACCTTGCAATTTCAATAAACTATTAATCTTTTTTTTAACAATTTGTTAATACTCCAACCATTGTAGTAATTTTTTTTACTTAAATTCAATTAAATCATCCAAAAATAAGGCTTTGTTCATTCACCTTGTTTGTGCTGAATTGAAATTATTTTTATTGAATTTAAATTATTTTTACACTTGAAGCTATATATAAGCATTAAATTTACACTTGAAAATCGTAAAAAGTTAAGAAATCATCAAAATATAAACACTAATTACACTGATTTACGCGTGTTTTTGTCATAAATTCCTAATTTTATATAATTTCCAAGTATGTATTTAATGCTTATATATAGCCCTTAGAGCTACATATAGCATTGCCCTTAAATTATTTATACTGAACTTATTTTAATTTTACTGAGCTTAAATAATTAGAGAAGGTATTGGATGCGGCCATTTGCAAAAATATTTGTGAAATTTTAACTTTCACATATAAATTTTACTTTCCCATGTAATTAAATTACCTTCTCTCTCTACTTTTTTGCATACGCAATGTAAATTTACTTTTTCAATCTACTTTTTCTACGTCTTACTTATGTTTATTAATTCCGTGATTTTCTACCAAAACTGACTATCAAAGGGAGACGAAGGAAGTATATTTCTTCTTTACAGTTACTGATTTTACTAAATTGAAATTATTTTTACTAAATTGAACTTATTTATACTTAACGAACTTATTTTTAATAAACTAAAATTATTTTTACTAAAATATTATTTATTTGATGTGAGGAGAACAAGTTCTGAGTGTATGTCAAACGGTAACACGCAAAAATAAAGTAGCGACCAATGAGATTACGCGGCCATTATTGGACATGCCACATGCGTTTGGACGGATGTGATAAAACGACTTGAATCATTTGGAATAGATTTACCAATAAATTATTGATCACCAAATAAAATTACTCCGATATACTCCCTCCGTTTTTAAATAATTGCTCCATTTTTTCATGCGCGGAGTTTTAGGAGAAATTGAAGAAAACAATAAAATATGGAGGTAGTGAGGTAAGTGGAAGAATAAAAAATTGTAAAAAGCAAAAGTAGTGGAGAGAAGTGAAGGAGAGAAAACATAAAATTAATAAAATATGATTAATGGTGGGTTCACTAGGCTAGAGAATTTGATTAAATATTGTAAAAGTTTACCGAATAAGTAAATGGATCAAGTATTTAAAAAGGCCGGAAAAGGAAAGTGGAGCAATTATTTAAAAACGGAGGGAGTAATATAATACTTCCTCTGTTTTTTTTAAGTTGTAACACTTCAATTTTAGATATTAAAATTGTACAAATCGAGACAAATATAACATGATCCTACATGATTATACTTTTATTTATGTATAAATCATCAAAGTGAAACACATGAATAGAGTAAAAGTCAAAATGTTGCAAGTTTGCAACTATAAAAACGGAGGAAGTAGTTGTTTTTTTTTTTTATAAAAAAAAATCATAATACTTTCTCCATTTTTAAATACTTGCTCCATTTCTCCGTATGCGCAGTTTTAGGATAAATTGGAGAAAATAATAAAATATAAAGATAGTAGAGTAGGTGGAAGAATAAAAAATTGTAAAAAGCAAAACTAGTGAAGAGAATTGGATAACATAGAATATGAAATTAATAAAATATGATTTAGGTTGGGGTCCACTAGGTGAGAGAAATGAATTAAATATTGAAAAAGTTTTCCGAATAAGAAAATGAATCAAATATTTAAAAACGATCGATAAAAAAAAATAGAGCAAATATTTAAAAACGGAGGGAGTAATTACCGAATAGCGGTATATGAGTATATACAAATCTAGGTAGACCACCTGGCGTATAGTGAGAACTCAAATAATTTAATGTTCAATGGAACAAATCGCACACTATGAGCTGGGAGATATAGAGACGCCTTCAATCTGATTTCTGAACCCATAAGTCGGCCGCACCCATTCCAAAATGTTACGTCCCCATAGATTGGCCCAACTTGATAATGACCTGGCTTACTCCCGCTATTAGGGATGACAATCTAGTCCGGATCTGACCCTATTCTGTCCCGATTCGAGGTAAAATATCCGCTTCGAGTCTGAGAAAAAAGTAATCCGATTTCGACTCTGTTAAAATAATCCGACTCCGAGTCGGAGGAGGGTCGGAGTCGGATCCTACAAAAAATCCGAGAAAAAAATCCAACTCCGACAAATGTCCGATTTTAACGGATTATCCGACTCCGACTATAATAGATAGTGGATTTTTGTTGGGTCATGGTGGCATTGGGTGTGGGTTGTAAAGGCCCAAATAGCCTAACATCTCAAAGTATATTGAATAATGAAAAAAAAACTCGGAGTCGGAGTCGGAGTCGGATAATCCGGTAAAGTTGGACATTTGTCGGAGTCGGATGTCGGATTCGGATGTCGGATTTAACCTCCGACTTCATGTGGGATCGGAGTCGGATTTAGCATAATCCGCTCCGAGCCCGACCCGTTGCCATCCCTACCCGCTATGTTCTTTTGAAGGTTTTTTTTTAGTGTCTTTTTCGGAATAGAGGCAAATTTGATTAAACTAATATCGAGTATTTAGTAAGAAGGTTTGGTAATAATTACCATGATTACCTTTTATTTGTTATCTCTAAAAAATTTAGGGTAATAAATATCATAATTCTCATCAAATACAAACAAAGTACGGAATAGTATTTGTCAAAAAAAAAAAATAATAAAAAAAAAAACCAAAGATTGTAAAATTTAATTAATTTCTTTTCATGTTCAAACCAAACAAATGAAAAGATATACAAATGTTTCCTTAGTTCAGCTCGATTTACTATTTTATTTTAATTTAATTATATTTGGTGTAGTTTAGCTAAGCTGGATTAGCTAACAATATTAGCGGGGATTTTTGTTTAACTTGTGAGGTACACAAATGGCACAACTAGTGGTGGATACAAACCCAAATCAATTATTTTAGAAATTTTGATACAGCTGGTTGAAGGGATGAGTATGTTTTCAGATAGTTTGAAAAAATAGGATTGACTACTAATTTTGTAGCCAAATCTTTCAATCACATTTTTTTTAAGTGCTTGATCTATGTCATCCATCTAACTGATTGGATTAGGTATAATTTCTCTTAGTGTAAAAATAATTATAACTTCACATTGATTTGTTTCTTAATCTTTTGCGGGGGAGTTTGACTATAGCATGTATAAGTCTACAGTCAATTTTCTTTTTACTCAACAAAGAGTTATTAATTTAAATGATTAAAAGATGGGAGTAATTTATAGCCATAATGAGGAGTTGAGCATAATACTTGGCATTGAACTCTCCTCTCCTCTCCTCTCCTCTCCTCCTTTCTTTTAGGGTTTTTCCAAAATCTTGGCCATTTAGGCCGGAAATAGTCTAATTTCTTCGGAAATTAGACCATTTCCGACCCTTTTCCCTTAATTTTATTTAATTTTGCATTTTAGGTTTCAATAAATCTACAAAAACAGTGTAGATATTTGTCCGTCTCCCTATGGTGGAGTGTCTCCCTATAGTGGAGTCGTTAGTTTTTGTTAGTTTAGTTGTTTATTTACGTTTAAGGTTTGTTTGTGTGCTAGGGTTCATCAAAAAGGTAATAATCTTTGGCCCTATTGTCAGTTCTTTGGTAAAGATTTGTTCGGGATCGCAACGGTTGTCAAGTTTTCAAATACGTTCAGGCGAATCAGATGAGAATCATCCTTACGGCTACAACAAATCATTAGACTGTCTCTCCGAAAAGGCTGTATATTCCAGCGATGTGTGCGAGAGATGTACCACAGTGCAAGATCTTTTCAACGATCGTAGCTTTGATAAAGGAAACCTTAATTTGATTCAATTTTATGTATTTGTTAATTCATTTGTAGATGTCGGATGACTTTTTATTAATGAATTGATTTTCTTAAAAAAAAAAAATACTTGGCATGGAATGTTGGAATCATTTATTTATTTTGCTCAAAGTGATCATAATTTTTTGGTTTACAAAAATAATCACCTTTTTTATTTTATTTTTTTCCTTTTACTCAAAATGATTATACTCCATAATTTTTCTTGATTCAATCACTTCGATAATATTTTACGGTTTAATAATTATAATGATATCAATTTTTATTTACTGAGTTTTTAAAAAGACGTAATTAAAAGATTTGAATGAAATTGTCTTGTACACTCATAGAGTTATAGACAAATTACAAATTTGTCTTTCAACTATAAACATTTACATGACTTAACTTAACGTCTGCTATTATTTTTATTTATTTCCAAATATGGTTTTACGAAATTTATGTCACCTTAATTGACTCAAAACCCGTCAAACAATAAACACCCTAAAATCTCGTTTAAACAATACATCTAATCCCAATCCACTCCATATCATTAATTTTGTACTCGTAGTTTAATTCTAACCAATAATTCATTTCTCTCAATCATTCCTCTGTTTTTACTAATGCCACCAAAATTTTTTTTGTCAAAAAATAGATAAAAATGGAGAATGTAGTTAGAAGTTGGTACCTGTTTTTTTCAGGATGAATAGCAAGACCATGATAAAGATCTTTAAGACCATCAAACAATCCCTCCCGACAAAACTCAGTCGAGCCTTGATTCAACTCATTAACAAGCATATCAAATTGTTTTCCCCTCGACGATTTTAGCCTTTCCCTCGGCCTCTCAACCATGTAATCCTCCTCGTGATTCGATGATCCGGTTCTATGCACCCCTTCTTCATCATCATCGTCTCTACTCCACGACATTGTTTTCGCCGATATAAGCCGTACCATTTTCTTCGGCGTCATCTTAATCAACTCTAATAAAAAAATTAGTCAATGTAATATGAGTATAAATTAGCTAGATCGGGAAAAATAAAGATAACAAAATGATATCTATATTGCTCGAATTACTTGTATAATAAATAAGATGAAATTAACGAACCTTGAATATGATCGCAATTGAAGTTGATTCAAGAATATCACGGGAAACGCGATCGACTACGAACTTTACAAATGTCTTCTCAATCTCTTTTTTTCACAAGTTCACGGATGAACAACTTGTTTATTTGTTGTTGTACTGGTAATACACGAACAAGTGAGAAAGGAGAAAGAGGTTGAAGAAAAGCGGCTTCGATGATTAATTTCTTGTCTCTTCTTTATATATTTGAATAATTTTATTGTGTCGAGTTTTGACAATGAAAATGATTTGAAAAAGAGAGGAATGAGGGCAGGGGAGGTGTGGTGATTAATGACTATGGCGGGTAAAATTTATATGGTTTATAGCAATTTGGAAATATATATCCAAACTTTTAAAATGTTTTCCCGTTTGTTTCTTAATAGCTGTGTCATTTTAAATAAACGCATTTGTTACTGAAGTTATTAATACATTTAATTATGATTTGATGAAAATGATAAATGGATAAAATTTTGAAAACATATTATAAAATTACCTCAACAACAATAAGTAACATTCTGTTGAGCAAATTTTTGTAATTGATTTACCGCAAGGCCTAGTCGCCTTGGCGGAACTTGATATGGTTTGATTATTTGTCAATTACTACCGCAAGTTAATAATACTTTGTAAATTACTACCGCAAATTAAAAAAGTTGTGAATTACTACCGCAAAATTTTTTAAAATGTTGCGATTACTACCAAACCTCCATTAAACCCAACTATGACGTCATTATATCACTTTAACCCATGGTTAAAGCCCTTAACCATGACGTCATTATATCCCTAATCCATTTTCTCTTTTGGGGGGCTGGTTAAAGCCCTTAACCATGGTCAAACACGAGTTATAGGGATATAATGACGTCATAGTTGGGTTTAATGGGGGTTTGGTAGTAATCGCAATATCTTAAAGTTTGCGGTAGTAATTTACAACTTTTTTAATTTGCGGTAGTAATTTAAAAAATGGTATTAACTTGCTGTAGTAATTGACAAATTATCCTAATACTAATTCTGCTCTCTTGAGCTTCTTTCAAAAAAAAAATAAAAATAAAAAAAATAACATGGTAAAAGTTACTTTGGAATGATGTAAAAAATATCAATGATGCACCTATTCAAAAATCTACGAAGTAATTGTTTTGAATCAATCAAACTATCCCTTGTGTTTAAAATTAAAATATTTGGCTTTTGATCATTTTTTTTTAGTTTGCTAACATTATATTGCTTGTTGTTTTATACAGTGTACGAAATATTAAGTGAAAATTGGTCATTCATTTATTTTAATTTATGTATTAGTATTTAGTTTATATTAGTTCAGCTAATTTAAAATAAGATTGTATTAATTAGCACAATAGAAGTAAGTTCAAACAATTTTTATTTTTTTAATTTCGCACTAATAGGACAATTGTTGACAAAATAGGTTTTTATTAAAAAAAAAATTAACAATAAGTATAGAAAAAATGAATTTCTATAATTTAAGATATACGGAGTATGTAGACAAATAAGATTAAATAAAACATAGACTAATTTTATTTTGTGCGAGTATTATAAATTTATTGCATTATTTTTGCATATTATTGTTATAGAATATAATATTGAATTTTATTTATATTCCAATTTTCTTTCCCTAAAAAAAAATAAAACAAAAAATAAAAAAAAAAACAAAAAAAATGTATTCCAATTTTTCTATAATGTTAATTTATTAACTTATTGGAGCTTAATACATTAGGGTATGTTCTCATTGACTTAACTGAGCTGAGCTGAACTGAACTGAACTGAATTGAACTGAACTTAATAGAGCTGAACTGAACTGAACTTATTAGAGCTGAACTGAAATGAATATTTTATAAGATAAGGAAATTAGGAGCTGAACTGAACTGAATTGAACTTATTAGAGCTGAACTAAACAGAACTTATTAGAGCTAAACTAAACTGAACTGAACTTGTTTCGGGGTTTTCTGATGTCCTGCGGGAGAGTTACAATTCCGAGACTGGAACCGGACGCCTGTACCTGCAAAACAAACGGATGCTCCGGATGATTGGAGATCCGCCTCCGACGGTCAAGTTAGTACTTGATTAAGGAGTAATTAATGCGGAAATTAAAGTGATTGGGTCTCTCTAGGTGAGAGTGTTTAATGTGTGTAATCTGCGTAACCTCCCTTAATGAGGATTAAGCGGGGTATTTATAACCTCGGGAAACGTGCCAATCCTAGGTTTAGGTTAACCTTGGGCTGATTGAACTTCCCTCGGAAGTTGGGCCTAGGTGGCCGACTTCTCCATTAGGCATGGAGTATGCCACGTGTCATGACATAATAGGTCCAGGGTGAACGAATAAGCGTGTGCCACGTGGCAAGCCCTGAGAGGTCCAACTGGGGGACACTTGGCAGGACCTGATTGGCCCACGTGGCGCATTCCGATTGGTGGGAGCAAAATCCCCTAATCATTTGCCCCTCACAGGTGGCACGTGACTGGTCACGTGTTACTTGTGACAGGTGTCGCCCTGTAACAGGCGACGGCCTGCTACAGGTGTCACTCGGCGAAAGGCCGAGAGATTCTCCCGCCCAAATTTTGAATTCCGGAAGTGACCCTTCGCCTTCTCACTTCGCCTATATAAGGGAGTGTTGCTTTCGGTCATTTTCACACTTGAGAACTTTGTGAGAGAACATTCGGACCCCTGAACTTGCTCTGACATTTTGGACCCATTCTGCCTACCGCCTGCTCTCACAAGCCGACTGCAAAGGATTTTCAGAACTTCATCAATCGTCACTCGTTCAGGTAACCGTCGGTTCTCTTACTCTTAATTTTCTCTTTACTTTATTCTTTTTTGAAATGGCACCACGGAAGCACACGACACGACCTAGGTTAGCGATCAGCCGGTCACCGGGGACGGCTGAATCTAGGACTAGGAGTGCTGCCTGCCCTTTTCTGGACCCATCTTTGCCCTTTATACAAAGTCCGACTGTATCTGTGTCTATGCAGAACATGATGGCCAGAACAAAAAAGACAGCTAGGATCTCGAACTCAGACGGCTCCTCCCACCGGGTGCCGATTAGTGAAACATCTGACCAGGCGCCAGATGTGGAAGTGAAACAAAGGGGCTTGAAAGCCGGCAGTTCTGAGGGAGGAGTCAAAGTGACCCCTTCCCATTTTACAGTTGACAATTCTTCATTCTCTCCTGCTCCTTTTAAAGAAGAGGAGGCGGGCCCCTCTAGGAGAGGGGAGGAGTCGTTCTCTTCGGACTCGTTAGAGGACGAATCCGAGTCTAGCTCTTCTGGCCATGCTTCTCTGGACACAGAAGAGAAAAACAGTCGCCTACAAGAGGCGAGGCTTTCTCACGCAGTTGAGAAGGGGGACAATTGGGCGGAGCCATCCGCCTCTCACCGGGAGCAAAATACCCCCTACTACTGCACGGTACCTCGAGGCCGGATCACGGCCATGCAAGAAAAAGTGGGGAGCTTTATCGCAAACCACACAATGGGCCCCGACTTTTTAGTGTTCGTGCCGGATCCAGAAGACACAGTCGTCTGGCCGGCTGGTACTAGTTATGATGGCGCCTGCTTTGGCTGCTACGAGGCGGCCATCAAGGCTGGGTTGCGCTTCCCACTACATCCGGCTGTTCAGCGGATCTTGGATGGGTATGAGTTGGGGTTATGGCAGTTAGCCCCGAACTCCTGGGTCAACGTACTCGGCTATGTGGCCGGGTGCGAACTGCACGGGGTGGAGCCAAACTTCGAGGCTTTCGCCCACATGAACTACCTCAGCCGGACCCCTAAGGCAGGCGGTATCGGCTGGTATCAATTGACGAGCCACAGGGGCTACCTCATGACAAGAGGTAAAGCAAACAAATGGAAGGACTGGCGGAGCACCTTCCTTATCATTAAGAGTTCAGACACAGAGCTGAACAAGCGCTTCAACAGGTGGAACAGGAATCCGCCCCTTCTTGCAGGCGGCCGCAGCATGCCGCCTGTTCCCCCCAAGGCTAAGAAAGAGATCCTAGATAAAGGACTCTTCAAAGTAGAGTCGAAGGTGAACTCTACTTCAGGGGTACGAGAGCAAGTACCCCTGCACTGCGTCCCGAGCTTCAAATGGCTCTACGACGAGTACTTTTTGGCCGCCTGTGGCCTCAGCAGTCGGTGCTCAAGAGGTAGCCGGCCTGTCGAATACTCTGTTGTTCCATGCATTTCTGTTATGACTTTTATTAACTTTGCTATTTGTTTTTGCAGCGGACGCATGAGCAAAATTACCGCCTCCAAGACTGCGGCGGCCATGTTGCGGGCCTCCATCATGCAACAGTCTTCAACCGACTCCCCCAACAAGGGGGCACCCTTGGTGGGCTTCGAACCTTTCACTCTCTTTTTGGAGTTGTGTTTATGCATATACTGACTCTTTCCTTCTTTTTTAGACGGGCGCTCCAAGAGCTTCTTCTTCCCAACAGCCGGACTCCAAGGCCCGGAGGACGACTGTTGCGAGCTCTCCTGGTTCTGCCAGGAAACATGCGGCGGCTGAGAAACAGCCGACCACTCCTTCCAAAACTCCAATTGGGCCGCCTAGAAGTATGAAGTTGTCCTTGTAAATTTTAGACTTGTTCCCTTCTTTACTAGGTCTAATCCGTTTGTCTATGCTTAATGCAGCCGACCCTCAGGAGCCTGACTTGGTCGAGGTGCCAAGTCTATGATCAAGGCCGTTCCTCCAGCTGAAAGGGAGGCGGTCAGGGGTGTCGGCACCCTTGACCTAGACGGGATTGCAGGAGTCCTTGCTGAGGTATACTTAACATATTTTTGAGTATTTGAATTCCAGGACGCCTTTCTTTTTTTTTTTTTTTTTTTTTTTTTTTGGAAACTGACGCCTGTTCCCCTTTTTACTTAGGCCCTGCTCCGAGTAAACGGCCTCCGTAAGCCGCTTGACAGGAAGAACAAAGAGGTAAAGGCTGTAAAAGCTATGGCCGCCTCTGACTGTGATAAGGCAATGTTTCAAATTGCCCAAAATGAGGTTCTGACAATTGATATTCTTTATTATCACGCGCAGGCTACCGCCGCTATCCGGGCTCAGTTAGAGGCGACCCAGAAGAGGAATAGCGAGTTGGAGGCGACCATCAACAATCTCAAGGCCGAGCTGAGACCTCTTCGCCAAAAGATGTCCTCATACGACACCTTGGAGAAATCCTTGGCGGCTGTTAAGGAACGCCTGGTGACCCAGGAGAAGAGTCTTACTCAAGAGCTCTCGGAAAAGGCCGAGCAAGAAAAGAAAGAGCTGGTCCGGGAGATGATGGAAGACTCTGCTCAAATCCAGCGCATGACTTGG